TAGACATGAGCAGAGCAAGGACGACAGGCCAGGTACAAAAGGTCACCAGGACAGAAAGCCCTGGGTGCTTAGCAAAGGACAATTATAGGGTGGGACCTCACCCTCAGGTGAGTTTTCCTCCCCTAGCATATCGTGGTCATGCAGTTTGGACCCCCTGACCTTTCCTCCCTAGAGATAACATCTAGGCCTCAGTTGTATTTCTGCTCCAGGCCCAGAAAAGCAGCAAAACCAGACAAGCAATACCAAGGCAGACCTCAGGACAAGCTGCATTGAATAATGACCTCCTACCCTGGCGCTCACCAATCCATCTGTGGAGACCCCTACCCTGAAAGGACACACGTGGGAAGCTGCTAACTATTCTATTGAGATCTTTCCCTGGGACCTCCCCTAAGATCTCCACCCTGAAAACCCCGAGGTGGAGGACCCAGGGCAGAGAGCTCTCTCTTCAGGGAGCACACCGAGCCTTTCCTTTCCTCCTCCTCCCCAACCCTCCTCCCCGCTGCTCCCCAGGCACATTACCATTACCTTCCTCACTTCTAAGTTCCAAGGGCCCTTCCTTTACCTGTATAATTTGTTTCCTAAACCCATTTCGTCTGTGAATTACTTCTTCTACCTCTGTGATTTTCCAAACAAATGTTCTCATAGTTTGTCTGGGCTCTAAATTCTTTCCTAGCGAGAACTCAAGTGCCGAGGTTACTGAACCCAGGTCCAGTCTGACCCCACCAGTCTAACACTTGGTGCTGTTCTTCCAGCCCCCAACAATATGATTGTCTGACCACTATGCTGTACACTAGTATGTTAGAAAAGTAATAATAAATGGAGAATTATATTAACTGGGAAAAAAAAGGAGAAGAATTCAGTGTGTGTCCTGAATCTGAGGATTAATGAGTTTTAGCATTTCTGGAACAGACTTAGTTACTATCACTTCAAATATTTCTCTTCCTCATTCTCTCTACTTTCTCCTTTTTGTATTTATTAGACATGTTAGACTTTAAAATTTTGTTCTACATACTTCTCAATATTACTGTCATATTAAATGGTTCTGATCATCAAATTTTGATATGCAGG